CGATACAGAGTGACGTTCCTGCAGTCAAAGTCGACCCTTCCTTATTCCTATCTTATAATAATGATCTAAACAAAACGCACGTTCGAGACGCAGTCTCTAAAACGTATTTCAGCTTAAACCTAAACACCTCACTCGATACCTACTCTAGCTTAGACTAAACACTCCTATCGACGCAAACGATAACGGTTCTCCTAGCCACACACATACACTCCTTACAGATTATACCTCTTGTTTCATAGTTGTTCCGATATATAGGCATAATGTATAAAAAATCTTTTAAATGTTTCATATAAATCTTAGGACGAATTAAATTTTATATAAAAAAAATTATATAAACTTTTTCTCTATCTTCTCTAGAAAAGAAAACATTAAATGAAATCTTATACATTACATGCTTACTTAAATCGCATTGAAAACGAATACCACAAATGTTTTAGAATAATGTGCAAAATGTGATTGCGATTTTCGCTAAGACAAATTGAAAACTCGTTTCTAACAAGGAAAAGTTGGAATGGTACCAGGTTTTGGGTTAGGTTTTACTTTGAGATATTATTAAAGTTATTACAGGTACTTATTTTCAGAAATAGAACTATGTTCACCACTAATCAGCGTGGCGTGAGTGATGAGGTCTTTGCCTGCAAGTTCCGAACTTCTTCTGCTCTGCTGGTTCGAACCCTGCTTGAACTTTTTTTTTTTATTTTTTCAATCATACTTTAATCGTACACTAAATATGACATTATATTTTTGTCTGACCTTCGAATATTTTTTTTTAAAGTTAAATTTAACCGATTACATTTAACATATGTTATTTTCAATGTACGAAGTACATGAATCTGGATGGTACTTTTCACAAAAACAGTCAAAACATAAAAATTTCAAGCACCACGTACATTTACTGAAAGTTTTGTTTTCACAGAAATTACAAAATTTTGTATTTAACTCTGATGGAAAGGCCGCTTCATTTACATTGATAAAATGTGAACGATTTTCGGATAGTCGTACCTTGTAGCTCGTACTTTTTACCTTATACTTCAGGTAAAAAGGGATATAGCTGGGAAAAACAGTTTTATGACATTACCTGCTAACTTATGTTACTGTTCTACAATGAAACGCTATGTTTTGTACCTTTAAAAATATTCGACTATGTCCTTTTAAAATTTAAGATACAACCCATACTTTGTATTAAACTGGCAAACGGGATCACTTTTCCTTTGTTTCTAGTTAGTTCTATTTAGTTCGTCATAACCAATTGATACGGTTATTTCAAAACAATCGAGGAAAATCATTATTAATTAATTTCTGCAATTATTAATTCTACTGTTTTGTTTATGTTATAAAAGTAAGAACTCTTCTTATTGAAAAATACCACAGCGTGCACAATACTGGTAAAGAGTGGAATCTCATTTTAATTTATTAATTTTCAATCTTAAAGTATTTTGATTTTCAAAAATCGTATTAATAATATACATATGTGTGCTCATACATGGGAATAAAAAAAAATTTCTTTTTTTTCAATAATTAAAATATGATCAGGAGGTCTTAAAACGTGTATTTCCGTAAAATAAATTTTACAAAATTTTTTTTTCATTATGGGTACTTTGCTTATGTGCGCCTACATAGGTCGGAAAGTAAAAATGCCTGGGCAGTCGAGATTCTCGGCTCGAGAATCCAAATCGTATGCCGTTGACTGGAGGTCGGATTTCAGTTGTTTAGAGCGAGAAGGCAAATGTGAGCCTTTCTCTCTCGACTCCCACGAGGCGATCCGAAATTACTTCGGGCAGCTTCGGAGAATCGAGAAAGAGGGCATGCGTCAGTTTGCCTTTGTCGACTTTCCGAAACTCCACGAGCTCACGTACGCGTATCTGGCATGTGTGCGTGTGCACCCGGCGGTGCTTTTCTGGCATCTCTGACGAGTATGTTAACTTCTCACTTACATAGTTCGTGTATGGATCCAGCGACCAATGAGGCCTTTTCACTAGTTATATAGTGATGTTACCGAAGTTTATTTTCTAGTGGAATCAGAGATGCCAGAAAAGCACCGCCGGGTGCACACGCACACATGCCAGATACGCGTACGTGAGCTCGTGGAGTTTCGGAAAGTCGACAAAGGCAAACTGACGCATGCCCTCTTTCTCGATTCTCCGAAGCTGCCCGAAGTAATTTCGGATCGCCTCGTGGGAGTCGAGAGAGAAAGGCTCACATTTGCCTTCTCGCTCTAAACAACTGAAATCCGACCTCCAGTCAACGGCATACGATTTGGATTCTCGAGCCGAGAATCTCGACTGCCCAGGCATTTTTACTTTCCGACCTATGTAGGCGCACATAAGCAAAGTACCCATAATGAAAAAAAAATTTTGTAAATTTTATTTTACGGAAATACACGTTTTAAGACCTCCTGATCATATTTTAATTATTGAAAAAAAAGAAATTTTTTTATTCCCATGTATGAGCACACATATGTATATTATTATTACGATTGAGTATAAATAGCTAAATGAATTTAAATGAAACTTTACATTTAAGTTTTATGTTCTCATTTCAAAGTCCGGTTAGACTTTGACTATAATCAGTCCATGGATAATAATGATTATACCTCTTGTTTCATAGTTGTTCCGATATATGTATAGGCATAATGTATAAAAAATCTTTTAAATGTTTCATATAAATCTTAGGACGAATTAAATTTTATATATGTTATACAGACGCGTAGAATGGAATTAGGAATTAAGAAATACGTAGGGTATTCGTATACATGCTTTATTCCCGTTCTTTCAGCGTCGGAAAAACAAATGAGCCCGTCCTGGGCCTAGACCCACGCCTTTGTCGTCAGCCTTCTCCCCCATCGGTAGGGGTGGGAGTGTTGACGGACGAAGGCCAGACGCGGTCCCTTGCCAGCGCCTCGGCTTGGGCCTCGCCTTTTCCCGACGCCTTACATATAAAAAAAATTATATAAACTTTTTCTCTATCTTCTCTAGAAAAGAAAAAATTATATGAAATCTTATACATTACATGCTTACTTAAATCGCATTGAAAACGAATACCACAAATGTTTTAGAATAATGTGCAAAATGTGATTACGATTTTCGCTAAGACAAATTGAAAACTCGGTTCTAACAAGGAAAAGTTGGAATGGTACCCGATTTTGGGTTAGGTTTTACTTTGAGATATTAATAAAGTTATTACAGATACTTATCTTCAGAAATAGAAATACATTCAACAACCAGCGTGGCGTGAATGACAAGGTATTTGCCTGCAAGTTCCGAGCTTCTTCTGCTCTGCAGGTTCAAACCCTGCCAAAACAAATCCTTTTTTTTTATTTTTTCAATCATATTTTAATCGTACACTAAATGTGACATTATATTTTTGTCTGACCTTCGAATATTTTTTTTTTTAAATTGAATTTAACATATGTTATTTTCAATGTACGAAGTACATGAATCTGGATGGTACTTTTCGTAAAAACAGTGAAAACATAACAATTTCAAGCACCACCTACATCTAATGAAAGTTCTGTTTTCACAGAAATAACAAAATTTTGTATCTAACTCTGATGGAAAGGCCGCTTCATTTACATTGATAAAATGTGAACGATTTTCGGATAGTCGTACCTTGTAGCTCGTACTTTTTACCTTATACTTCAGGTAAAAAGGGATATAGCTGAGAAAAACAGTTTTATGACATTACCTGCTAACTCATGTTACTGTTCTACAATGAAACGCTATGTTTTGTACCTTTAAAAATATTCGACTATGTCCTTTTAAAATTTAAGATGCAACCCATACTTTGTATTAAACTGGCAAACGGGATCACTTTTCCTTTGTTTCTAGTTAGTTCTATTTAGTTTGTCATAACAAATTGATACGGTTATCTCAAAACAATCGAGGAAAATCATTATTAATTAATTTCTGCAATTATTAATTCTACTGTTTTGTTTATGTTATAAAAGTAAGAACTCTTCTTATTGAAAAATACCACAGCGTGCACAATACTGGTAAAGAGTAGAATCTCATTTTAATTTATTAATTTTCAATCTAAAGTATTTTGATTTTGAAAAATCGTATTAATAATATATGTACATTGTTGTATGACTAACTCATAAGCCAACATAGATACCGCACTAGAATCATCCTTACACAAACATCCCAGTCATAGGTTTCAAACTCCAGCCTTTCTAGCCTCCTGTACCCGCTTACTCATCCTGTACCCGGTTACTCATTCCGTACGCCACCATTGTCACCCTCAAATATATAAACGACGCACATTTTTGGACTCAAGTCAGATCTCTGTAGTTTGTACTAACGTGCGGAACTTGCCGTAACGATCGAATAAAACCACCAGTCTCTCTAGTAAAGTGTTGTTCTTAATCCCGCAACCCGGGATCCAACAACATATGCACGCTCATACATGGGACTAATAAAAAAAATTTCTTTTTTTTCAATAATTAAAATATGATCAGGAGGTCTTAAAACGTGTATTTCCGTAAAATAAATTTTACAAAATTTTTTTTTCATTATGGGTACTTTGCTTATGTGCGCCTACATAGGTCGGAAAGTAAAAATGCCTGGGCAGTCGAGAATCTCGGCTCGAGAATCTAAATCGTATGCCGTTGACGGGAGGTCGGATTTCAGTTGTTTAGAGCGAGAAGGCAAATGTGAGCCTTTCTCTCTCGACTCCCACGAGGCGATCTGAAATTACTTCGGGCAGCTTCGGAGAATCGAGAAAGAGGCCATGCGTCAGTTTGCCTTTGTCGACTTTCCGAAACTCCACGAGCTCACGTACGCGTATCTGGCATGTGTGCGTGTGCACCCGGCGGTGCTTTTCTGGCATCTCTGATACTCGTTTTAGAATTGCGGCTATTTACAGTACTTAAATTTCTAGTAACTTTAAACTATAGTTACCATATCTCTACATTAACTAGAGAGGGTTAGGTCGCTTTGAATAACGTGATTTTAATATTATATGTCACTAGTCAAATATTTTACACGAAGTGTAAGGAAATGTACTGCGTGCAGATAATACAAGCACATGTAATTTTCTTAAAACTGTCTGACCCTCTTCTTTAAAACAATACGAATACTTTTGTTTTACGTATATTTTGTTTTTTGTTTCTTTTACGTATGTCCTGTATAAAATATTTTTGCATTAAGTACAAAATAGTTCCATGTGGTGAATATACCAATAACTATGGAACACAGTGTATTTCGGGGTAAGAATATTGTTTCAAAAATAATGTTTATTGTGTTTATATAACAGTTGTAAACAATTTGATTGCCATAAATCGATATGTATATTATAGATTACTGTAAGGCCGAAAATAGCGAAGATGAAGAAGTTAATTGTGATTTACAATCGCGATTATATGCCGAAGTCTATTATGCATCAAATAACTTGGAAAGTATACATACGAAAAAGAATATTAAAATAGAAGCCCCTGTCAAAAATGCAGAATTATATAAAACTAAAAGTACTAGTAAATCATCTAACCCCAATGATAATTCTACAAAGAACAATAGTGGTAGAAATCAAAGCAAAATATATCAAACAAAAGATTTAACAGATAACTCAATGTTAATTGACAAGGATGATAAATCCAAACTTATATCTTTGTGTGTTTCAAATGAGATTACGTTGATACAAACAGATGACAAAAGAAACTTAAACATACCTTGCGTAGAAAATTTACAACATTCTCAAACAAGCATAGAATCTTCAAAAAGTAATGAATTGACAGCATGTAACCAATCAGATAATACCTATAGCAATCTGCATCCACATAATGCCTATAATACAAGCAAAGATATTATAAAACCAGAGACAGAAATAGAAAATAAAGAACACTTGAAATCCATGCAAAACTTAAATTCTGAATTAAATACATCTACAAATCAATCTGTTTGTGTAAATTCTACAAAAAGTAATGTTGACAATAATGTTGAAAAAAATCAGGAACCTGTGCACACTAAACAAGACATAAATGACAATCCTGAAAATATATTAAAGAAATACGAATTCTCTAAGTTGTTTATTAATAAACTGTATCTAGAAAAGTATGAAAATTTGACAAAACGATTAGAACAATTAGAAGAAGAACCAATAGAACAACAGGAAATAAATGTTGAAGAAACCGAAGAAAATCAACAACAATTAGACACGCATGTAAGCTCTGCTGATCAAACGGAGATAGACACTAGATATGACATACTTTCAACAAATGAAAAACTACAAAAAACAAGGACTAATTCAGATGAGGTGACAGTGCTATGTTCGGACACAGATAGTGAATCTGAAGAATCCATATTAGAAGTACCTATTCCACCGAAACCACAACCACCTGTTATACAGTTACCAGATTCTGATGATGGTACAGATATGTCAGATAGTAATACAGATGAGGAATGTTTATTTATTATTGATAATGTGGGTTCGATAAAAAAAAAAGAAAAGATAACTTATAGAAGTGACAAAAGTTCAGATACTAATTTAGCAAGGACAACTACTATTAATGATACGTCAAAAAGTGGTGTAACAGAAGACATTATGTTAAATTGTACAGGGGTCCAAAAAAGTGTTTCAAGTATAAAAGAAATAATAGAAATGCGTAAGAATGTTCAAAACGAATTGGAACAATGTTCTTCTAAAGATAGAAATATTTTAAACGAAAAAGAGAAATTCGTTATAGTAAACGAAGTACGTTATCAAAATCCTAATGCGATCAACAAATCATTATCGTCTGTTACTAAAAAGGATAACGTATCTGAATCTCAATTGTTATTAGAAACTAGCAACAACAGCAATGTTGTGTATGAGAGAGACAAACAAAAATCAGTCACTTTCGCGGATGACGTTGTAGCGCCTTTTTGTAATTCTAACGAATTCAGTTCAAGTAGAAAAAGACGTTGCGAAAGCGATGGTGAACAGTGTACGAACGCAAAACAAATGAAAAGCACAGAAGGAAGTTCTAATCAAAGTCAGAATAAAAATAAACAAAAAGAAGAAACGTGGGAAGAATATTTCTTTCGTCCCATGTCTGACAATCTTAAAACATTTTATAACAAACCACAGGGACAAGAAAACCTTGATATTTGGGAAATTCAAAGTAAAATGTCAAGTAAGGGTTTAAAGTTTTGTTCTGGTTATAAATTTTGAATATTTAAATGTTCTATACTTTAAATAAATTATAGAAGATCCAAGACTTTGGGCTATTTTAGATGAAGACCTGATGCCTAACGTTTCAAAAAAACGAAGATTTTGGAACATCAAGTGTAAAAAGTGCCAATGTGAAGGCCATGCAGCGTATAATTGTCCACAGCCATATAAACCTCTTCGATGTCATATGTGCGGTACACAAGGCCATACAGAAACCCGATGTCCGCAAAAGATGTGCCTCACGGTTGGAATATATTCTATAAGAAATATATTGCATAATAATCGTGTAATAATGTATTGATCTTTTACAGTGTGGCAAAAAACAAGGAACATTTAGAAAGACTTGTGAATCTTGTCGTACGTTGTATTGTAATATGTGCAAAGCTATAGGTCACAAATCTACCGAGTGTCCCGATCTTTGGAGAAGGTTTCATCAAACGGTAAATTTAATTCCAACCTTACAATATAAATATGATAAATATAGATAAGCATGTCGTGATCATTTTTCTTATTCCAGACACGTAATTCTGAAATAAACGTACCGGAGAATTTATCTGAAATTATGAAACCCGCAGATTTACTTTATTGTTGTAATTGCACGAAACGTGGACATGATTCTTCTACGTGTTATGAATATCGATGGTCGCAACATTTTCCAACGCCAGCATTTGTATCGAATTATGGAAATAGAACACAATGTTCAGATATCGTGTTTGTAGATACTAATGAAGATATCATACCATTAAATCGAAAGAAATCATGTGGTCGCCTTAAAAACGTAGTATTCAACTCAGTGGTCACAAATGATGACTTCGATGGTTGTTGTGTTTTATATTCGTTCGGTGCTTTTCAATCAAAGAAACAAAATGGTGAACAAATTATAAAGAAAGTTGCTCTCAATAATGTTACAGAGGTGGAAAATTTTATAAAAAATCGTATTTCTGTACCGGTTTTCGAGCAATTGATAAAAGCGGTTAAATTTGAATTCAAAATATTTTATAATCCGCAAAAAGTACTAATGACACGAACTCGATCGCTGATGGGTGTTTCCCTGTACGTGAATAAACTCTTTAATTATTGGCTAAAACTGAAAGACGACGAAAAGGATATAAAAATAAATACAAACCTTCCACGTAGTACAAAAAAATTGGTGAAGTTGTTAGCAACAAAATTACAACAGTTAGATCAAAATTTACAAGACCCTAAGAGTCTTTGTAGTCAGATCGATACGTTGAAAGCAACAATGTTTGGTACGCAAGATTCTTCCACACTGTCTAAATTATCGGAAAAACTGTTAGAGCTACAACAACAATTATTGTATGTGTATTATACAAAACCAAAAACAAAGGTCGAAGTAAGTAAACTACGAAAAACTATTCAAAAGTTAACGAAGAAATCGAGCGATTCGTCACCTCAAAAACTGCCAGAAGTGTCCATACCACTGTATGTGCAAATTATTGTTATGTACAATAAAGTATTTATACCTCGTTCATTAACAGATGAAGAACTAAACAAGCTTTTGCGTGACTATTATAAAGTAAAAAAAACGGGGAAAAATAAAGGAAAAGAAAATAAAGCAGAAAAGAGGTCGAGTCCTCATGAAACTTTTGTACACACTTTACCAGGCTGTAGTAACTGGACAACTAATATAGAAGATAAACAAACAAGTAATACTATACATCAGCCAAATGTTACTCAGAAAGATAAAGAAACACCTACTGCTACATCTACTGCTGTTACATGTTTTTCGACGAGTAATAGTATACAACCCGATCATAACGTTGCCAGTTTTAATATAGAAAACGTTCGTACTGAAAGATACAACCCGGACGGTAGTGTCGCTGAATATAATCATATTTATCCTATAGAGGTCGTACAGTTACCGCGTAATTATATGGTATCAAGTAATTATATAATACCAAGTAATGAACCAGTGGGAAATCCTATACAAATCTTTCAGGAACCGAGTATCTCGTTCGAACCGGTTCGAACCGAGCCGAATTTCATTCCTCTACCAAGTAATTATATGATACCAAGTAACGAACCAGTGGAAAATCCTATAACAATCTTTAAGAAACCGAGTATCTCGGTTCGAACCGAGTCGAATTTAATTTCTCTACCTCTTAAAAAATCTACGTGTTCCAAGGAAAAAACATCCAAGGATAACGTAGAAAAACATGTACAAATAGTACAAAATTCTAGCGAACCAATAAACAAACCAAACACGCAACAAACGGTAGATGCGGTTCAGTCCGCAACAAATATTACAAAGAAGAAGAAAAACAAAAAAGCAAAGAAAACAAAATTGAGTTTGGAATCTAATTTGCAACTTGCAGAAAATAAAGAAACAAGTGTTGATGTATTTATAGAAAGTAAAGCTAAACAAACTATTATCGAAGCTCTTCAATTCAATTTACCATATATGAATAAAGCCGTGGAAGAAGTTGAGAAACGAATAAACGACAAGACCATTAAACATGAGAATATCGAGATGCTGCAAAGACTAATAAATCTAGAAAAAAGCCACCAGGAATACGTGAGTTCATTCTGTAATTACTTACAATAAACATTTTTTTTTAAAACACCATGTTGATTATATTTTAGCTATAAAGAAAACGAAAATTTCTTAGCACTTCCATTGTTTCGGATATATCTTTCTTTCTTAATTAGTACTTCATATAAAATCAGTATATAAATTTACAAAAAAAAATTGCAAAATGTGATTGCAAGTACTAAATTATAAACAATTATACGCAATATTGATATACTATGACTATATTCCAGGTACAATGTATCATTATTGTTTGTATTTGCACTATTAGAATAGGTTCTAAATTGTAGAATGTCTATGTAGTATGTCCGGAGTAAACATAAGCTTGCCTTAAAGCTCATCTACATAATGAGACATAAAATGTTGTCTAATGTATGAAAATTATATTAATATACAATTAATATTGATGTTCGGAATTTATGTTGCGACATTTATATCATACATTTATGTCAACTACAAATTAATTTAAAATATTTTTTTTTCATTAGAATATAACATTTTATAGTATACAAAATGTCTTTATGTCTATTTTTTGTAAATAAATAAAAAGTGCTTTTTAAAAAAATTGAATACTTATTTATTGTTCTCTGTTTATTACATATTCAAAATATATATGTACATAATATTTGTGGAGGGTGTTTCATAGTTTTTCTACCAAACTGTGAGAATTTAATCCAGAGGTCGAAAAGAAAAAGAAATGGTACACATGTTTATAAATAAATGCTTTATTCTCATGTTGAGTTTGCTTCCAAGCAGTATGTACATCATTTTGAAATATTTTTAAAATAGTACAATATGAAATATAATAGATGATAAATATTTGTGTCTAGCTCTAAAATAACATTTTTTTCTCCTTTTAACCTCTGAATTAAAATTTCACAATTTGATGGAAAAACCGTGGGTTAACCTGTACTTCAATATTCTAACTAGTTTTAGTTAATGATAAGTATCATTTATTGATAATGAGGTATTTTATCATGTACAAAATCGTGTTCAAATTGAGGACTTATACCCGTATTTTATTATTATAATCCTTATAGAAACTGAAATATAGAAACACCGGTAATTTTATCAATTTTACTATTTCTTAAAATTACCAAAATTTATTTTAGGTAGAGACCTAAAACCCAAATTGTTCTAACACAAAAACATGAAGTATTATCTTTTTACGATAGACATTGTATTTCAGAATAGGATTCTCACGGTTAGTTTATCGTTTACTGGAATAGAATAGCACATTTGGTAATAAAGAAGATTTAAAATATAAACGAATGAAGATCTGTCTACGAGTTCGGCAACAAAAGCGGGAAAGGTCGTTGGACTGAACTTCTACATTCGAAGTAATATTGATCGATATTTATTTCGATAATAATCGCTTTTGGTATAGCTTTGATGGTATAATACCTGTATAAAGATCCTGATTCAAGTTACGATTTTACTTAAATTTATATAGCCTGTAAGCAATGTAAAAATGTATGTATTTCAGCGTTCTAAAAATATTGTTACTCTGTTAGTTATACGTGCATATGTTTAATGAATTACATGTATTAATATAATTAGAATAATAAAAATATAATACACATTCTTTTCATTATTTCTTCATTGGTGGTGGCCCTCCTATAGGTGGTGGTGGTCCATTCATTGGGGGTCTCATTGGACCCATTGGTCCCATAGGTCCCATCATCGGTCCCATTGGCCCCATAGGACCCATCATCGGTGGCCTCATACCCATCATCGGAGGCATTGGTCCATGGGGTCCCATCATCATCGGACCTCCTGGACCCATTGGTCCACCAGGATGCATTCCTGGAGGCGGCATCATACCTGGTGGACCTTGGGGTGGTACTCCGGGTCGAGGTCCAAGATTCGGCGGTGGTGGAATTGCTGCACCCTTGTTTGCTGCGAACGGATTGGATGCAATTTTTCCTGCTTTGAATGCTGCCGTTGTGGCGTCAATTAGATGTTGGGCTTGTTCCTCCATCCATTTCTGATAGAAATATTTGACATTGTCTTTATGTTTTCGACCCTGACAGTGGGTTTTTCGTACACTCGGCGAGTCGTGTGTCAAGTACGTGTCACAATAATCACAGTAATATTTTGGCATTGCTTACTTCTATATTATTAAACAGTCTTTAAAAATATTTTACGTTACAAACGATTGCACGATTTTACATAAATTATTTTATTTTTCTAAACTTGGTTAGTTGAGGATAACAACAAGACATCGTGGATGTTTCTTTCAACCATTAACTATGACTAAGATGAACGAATTCGATGGTTAAATGTAAAGAAATGTATTTCCGAAACTTCGTAGGGAATTCGGCGGGGAACGCTGCCCGTGGAGTGCTAAGGCACTCTGCTCCTTGGACGCGGGAGTTTCAAACGGAGATCGCTAAGTAAGGAAAATAATAAATGGATACAACGATTTGAACACATGTAAATAGAACTTTAATTAACTCAATAAAGGAATATAAAACAAAACAACCAAGATTTCGCAGGAATTATTATAACCCGTTCGTACTCTTCCGCTCTCTTAATTCAAAATGCTTCTCTCTTTAATCAACTCAATTAACTAACTCAAATGATACAAGTACGATCTCGCTTAAGTTACAATGCTACGTCCGTTCACTTTCGATCTCCGGATGCAAGTGTGTCGCTCTGCCGGCCGGTCGAGGCCCAGCCCACACGTAGGCCCCTTCCGATCGTCTTTTCTTTTATTCGGGCCGGGCGCAAAACTCTCGCACGCGCGTTCCTCGGCACACCCCCCCATCCCTCGAGAACGGTCCTCTGCGGCACGTGGCCGTTATCGGCTTTTGCACGCAGCCCGTTTCCGGCAATCGATAGCGCACGGCCCAAGTCCTGGAATTACACACCTAGGAGAAGGGATCAAAGGGGAGCTCACGATTATCCAAACATCCGTCTCCAATAAATTATTGGCTAATCTATGACCCGAAGTGAAGTCATTAAAAGAATCTCTAACCACTTTTAAACCGTAGAATTGGCGCGGACTCCACTTTGTCTCCCTTTCCTATTACATTCGTGTAATCTGATTTAAACCTCGCGCCCCCTTGAGCTTCTGCTACACGGCGCCAGGCGGCGACCGCAACATAATCAACGATTTAATAATGTATTAAAATTAAAATATATTAGAAACTTTAACTCAAAGAATATTTTATTTTTAAATATAATTAAATTAGTAAATTTTCCATACTTGATGGTCAAATTAGAAGGTGACTAGTAACATTTGCAAAAATTTGTTCTCGACTATAATTGGACACGCCAAAATGTCCAATCATATAGCAAACCATCCGTAGCCCCATCTGGCGATAAAAATTTGAATACCACTTCAGTGTCCTATTCGTTCTCGTATGCATCATTTATAATTTTATTCACAGCACCGTTAGGAATTGATAGAGTTTTAAATAAATTATGATGTTACGATATCATGTATACAAGAAATGAACACATATTGCAGCATAGATTAGAATTTAATGGTAAATTTTTAACAAAGTTATGATAGTGTACCTAATTCCAGCTTTTTAACAATTACATTATTCGTGGGAATATCTGACATATATGAAATACTATTTCAATATAATAATTAATACCAACAGCAATAATAATAAAAGAAAACATTCAAATAATTCTAGTGATTTCTTTTGGAGCCGTGCATCTTTTGGAAAAGGTTTGAAGAATGAATTTCCCTAAAAAATCGAAACGCATTTTACCGAAAAATTATCTGCTTCGTCGGAACACGTTTTGAAACATGTGCAACGGTTTGGCTGCCATTGGTATCGTTTTAATATTTTTTTTACAATTATGTTATATAATATTAATTTCATTATATAAAAATAATAAAGTATAGATACTGTGCATTTCTATATATCATAAAATAGGTTAACTCCAACATTTGTCCTTTATCATCATTCTTTGGCGACAAACTAAAAATAAATTGATATCTTCGAGCAAAACAAAATTGGATAGAAGTAAAAATTAATAGTACAATTTTTTTTTATTATTATTTTCATTATTTTTAACGATTTTGTATATTATAATTACAAATTTTGTTTTATTATATTCTAATAGCTTCTCTCTACAATTATAAGTTACCGAAGCATTTTGTTATTTAACATATTCTTTAATTATTTAAGAAAATATGATAACAAATCTCTTCAAAAATTTTGTAATTTTAATTAATTATATTTTTAATGTTTGAAAAGTTTTAGTTATTTTAAGCATACGCTTATGCAATACAAATGAAGTTTTCAATTTAAGCATGAATAAATAATGTACTGTACTGATAGAAAATAATATATAATAAACTAATCATTTTAAAACATACAAAGGGAAAAGTAATTCTTATTTATATAATGATTTATATTTGTTTGTCTTTTATATCCCAAGACAACATAGTAGAATAAAAAATAGGCAATACATCTGGTTACAATCGTGTGGTCACACTATAAATAAATTTAAAATATTGTTGCCTTAATATAATTTCATTGTTTGCATACAATTTATAGGGACGTAGAAATACAATAACAATTAATAGGAAAAATAGATTGAGAATAAATGAATTCTATTATTGCTAATTACACAAATAACGGTCAAAACGAAATAAAGTTTGGTCATTTCGAGCTAATTAAAGGTTGGAGGGATTAATTGACGAATCGAACATGTCGATTTCTAGGTCAGACCAGGCCTATTCGAGAGTTCCGAAGTACAATGGCCGCCGGATGAATTAAAAGTACTTTAATACTTGACAAATAATTCGGTCGAACTTTTCAAGCCTTTTTACCCTTCATTTTACGCTTACCCTCTTTTTTTCTATTTCTCGATTCAGCTAGAAGGAGATTGGCATTCGAGGTTCAATGATAAATGAGCGCCGCTGAATTGGAACGACCCTTCTTTACTATTTTCTCTTCACAGTTTTCTCTCGCTTCGCGAACTACTCTTGCTTCGCCGTTTCTTTTTTTCGGTTCGCCTTAATCCACCCGCTTAGCAGCAAACTGCCCGATGATTTCGAACCTAAAACGAAACATGCTCTGGTTAATACTTCAAATCGAATTACAACCCCTTTTTTCAATGGCGTGCTCAGTGACCCTTAAGGAGGCCACAGATTCATGAGAGGTCATCGAATTTTTATAGGGAATTATTAAGTATTTATTTCAATCGTGGTAATCTGCTTATCAGTTTTGTTTAAATTCTAAACTCCTTTTACGTTTCTGGTAAATTTTATTGCTGTAGTTTCTGTAATAGTGAATTTTAGAGTTTCCCAGAAAATATGGCAATTTTGTTGACTGGAGCAAAGTAATACGGTCTGACGAGACCGAGGTTGCTTACTTTGGGGTGGGATGTAAATTTTGGGGGTGGTTATATTATAAAAAAACTGGAGATGCAATGACTGCTAAGTCATGTGTTAAGAATCCTAGAAAATGGTTTATTAGGAAGCTTGGAAAAGTAGGGTAAAACAGTATCGGGACTTTTATGCACGATAATAACCCCAAACTCATGGCAAAGTGCATGAAACAGTAATTGATGAATCGGAGGTTTGGAGTTTTTGATTGACCTCCGCTATAAACACCTATGGGGTTTACTTAAAAGATCGATGGCTAATTTTGAACCTGGTTCAAGAAGCAGTCTTCAATCATGGACAGACGTAACGATGGTGTGAGAAAGTATTCAAAGACAGCAATGTAGGAATCTTGCAGCCAGCTTGCCAAGAAGCATTAAAATTTACTACAATTGTTATAATTTTATTCGATGCAACGATGGTTTTAGTTATGTACAAATAAAATGAATATTTTCTACTACAACGGTATTACGAATAAGGGAACACCTTGTATGTAAATCATATTTAATGTAAGTCGTGATACTGTATTTATATTTTTCTGTAAAAAATATCATTGTATTGTTTAATTAGTTTCTATCCCATAGATTTGTAAGATAACATAGATGTTGAAAATGTGCATTTTATTTGTATTCCTATATCATTTCTTATTACTATAATAACGATCATATTGGAAAGAGTTGTATGCGAATCGAGTGTTGTGTGTTAAATAGTGTTATCAGAAATTGTTATAGCGACGAATCACACACATTTCAGTTCCAGTTGACCTGAAGTGTATAGCATTTCCTCTAAGCAAATGGATCGTGAAAGGAAAAGAAAAGCCGAAGCTGTGCGAAGAATGGAATCATTAAGGACGATTGCCCTTGATTCGAACTTAGATGAATCGACTACCGGCGATTGGAGAAACAAAAATACAACAGAAATAGGGTAACGTTTGATCGAAGTAATCGGCTGTGAATGAATTCCGAGTCGAAAGACTTTTAAAAAAGCCGCTGACAAATATAACAAATAAAATCGTTCGATTCCATCGTCTACTCGAGACCGATCGTTTCAAGTCCGTTGATATTCATAACGAAACATCGTCACGGCTCGGTAATAAAATCAATGTGCGTACAATGCCGTTTATGCGAGTTTAATCTGATAGGCAAAGTGGCACAAACCATTGATATCTGAGAAGAAATGGCGCGTGAGATTTCAGTTTGCGAAAGACCATATCAACTGGATGGAAGAACGATCGAAAGTTGTGTTTACGGGTGGAAAGTAGATTCGATCGTCCAGAATCTGACGGCGGAATTTATGTAAGACGCCAAACTTGGGAAGAATTTAGTGCAAAATTTATTGAGTCAACACTTGAAGAAGTTTGGAATCGCGCGATTATTAACATTGATAACTATGGAAGGTACGCAACTTTTAGACGAGAAGAAAATAATTGCTTCAACATGGCCGACACTAGATCCGGATTTAAGTCCTATCTAGATTCTTTAAATGGAGAAACAAGGCATAAGGTAGAACATATAAATGGCCATAATTGTTGCTTGTTTTAAGTTTATGTTAAATAAGAGGATACTCTGCATCTTTCAAATATACAGTTTCACTAACAAGCAAGACAAATTGGAGAAGCTGTACGATATCAAGGAAAATTTTGTTGTTTCAATAACATGTGTCTTGAATCGAAGGTCGTTATTTATAAAACGACAGGTTACTGTGAGAAAGATATCAGTATTGATACTTGCATCTTTCAACGTTGTTTTCAAGAATTGTCTACTTATATTTGCGATCGAAATGATGGAAGATATTTTTTAATGATACATTTTGGATAATTGAGAATGTGGGCCCACGGTTTGTGTAATTCGAAGAAAAGGTTTAATCCTTTCATCGGGC